ATAATAAACGTATCCTACATCTTTTGTGTCTATAGCCAACTCTACATGGTACCCATCTTTCAACCCAAAAAACTCTTCAAACAATAAAAAGATAATGCACGCTCTCCTTTACAAAAATATTTCATAATAAATGCGACTTACAAAAATCTTCATACGTTACGAAAGAAGTTAAGTAATTGTTGACAAGAAGTACGTTAGGAATTCATAAAATATATGAGGCAGAGTAAAGTTACGAGGTTTCAACATGATTAAATGCAATTTCTTCGCGAGTATGTTCCCCGTCCGACGACGGTGAACTTTCGACAAGGCCGTGTTCTTGACTCCCGATCGTGGGGCGATTGCAAAAGTATTAAAGGGCGAACGTTTTTGTATCGTCAAGTAAAATGGAAAGTTGGCTTCTCTCGGCTGTTTTGCAATAATAGCTTCATTAGTTTTCAACGCTTGACAAGAACGTGTCGTTCCTATTTATATTTTTTTAAATGAACATTTAATGTATTATAATTGCCTTAAGGAAACTTTTTCCATATCATATATTCGTTGATTAAAAACACACTTAGCCAGCACTGGCTCCATTTTTAAAAAGTGCTATAAATGTTATATTAGGAATAATTTATCGCAGAACCACGTAATAAAGGTGAGTACGCTGGGGAATGATGAAACAGATGTAGCGAGTGACTTATGTACGGGCGTTGATTATAACTAGCGTACGCTGCGGTTTGAAGCGCTGCAGCGATGTTCTTACAACATTTGCGGTTATACACAGCGATAATAAGTAGGTTTTACACACACATACGTATCATCACGCCTGTCTTCCAACCGGGTAGGTAGAGACTATGGACCTCCACTTGCTACGCTTAGACAAACCTCCTTCGCCCCCTTCACTCCATCAATCTCTTCATACATGCCTGTTTATTCTTGGTACTTTTAACCCGGCCTTTTTTAAGGACATCCTCAATCTGATTGAGATATGTTCGCCAAGGTCTACCTCTCCCAACGCTTCCATCTACATTCGTTCTATAAATTTGTGCCGTCCATCTACCAACATCTATTCTTTTTACATGACCAAACCATCGAAGCATCCCTCTCTCTATCCTTGTCACTACATGATCTCTCGTACCACAACGCTCTCTTACTACATACTGTTTGGCATTCGGCATTGTAAGTTTTGAAGACAGTAATAATGATAATAAGAATAATATCAATGAGATTACGGTTTGAATTTATATGCTTACTTGATGGAATAAAAATGGTAATGGAAAACGAGCGAATCTTAGGGTATTATGTCACAGCCTGGTACGTCGAGAATGGTGGTTCTTAAACGAAATAAGACCACTTATGGCAAATTCGTAGAACTAACAGTAAAGTCGGTTATGACCTTTACGTATTATACGCATTACATTTTACTTAAAGGTTGTTTCAAAAGAGATGTGTAAGTAGGAACTGAGCTGTACAGCAATTGTGTCTTGCAATGCAGCGAATCCAATTCAACCAGGCAGAATCACATAAAAAGCCTACAATTTCATTAAAACCTCCCTAAATAGTTATAAAGAACTTTGTTATTTGGCTGTCAGTCAGCTTTTAAAAGCCCGACAACAAAGTTAAAACGAAGTAATTAAAAAAGAAAACACAAAATACTTACAAAGTCGGAAGCTCCGCTCTCTTCACTTAAATTACTTGCGATTACACCGACAAAACGTTTAATGAAACACGTTAAATCGCGCCAAGTGGGCTTGGGCCCGGTTGGCGCGCCACGACACGCTGTTCGCCACTCTGCGCCGCCGTGCCTCCATGTCTGCCATACTTCTGCAACTTTGCCACTTACTGCGGTAGGTGCCGGGTAGTTTTTCCTTAAATATCTTAGCGGTAAGGAGAGTTGGAACTACTTCTGCAAAGTCCATTAAAGAGTATAAACTCACGCCACGGTGATTATAAATGCCACCGATTTTGGCGAACGTTTCGGGCTTGATTAAGGCTTTTTAATTGAAATTACTGTGAGTTAACTTTCTGCAAACGTTCCTAGTGGTAATCTAGCCTTAATATTGAAAATAATACGACCGACTCTTTTGAAGTATCTAGAGTTAAATAGGTACTTGAATGTAGTTTAAAATCCTACGGAAGCTTAATAACTTTAGAGAAAACAAAAAACTAAGAAACGTTGACCATGGTTAATTTTTTGCATTTCAAATACTGCATTTATAATGACTATACAAACACAGCAAAACGAATAAAATGCAGAAGTTACAGCTAATACCTACAAAGTTCGAAGAAATGAAGCAAAGTGAAGCTTTTGCGAAAATTAAATCAAATAGATATAATTTCATGGTGGGCAAGTCAGCGCAGTTGCTCCATATAAATATGTAAGCGGAGGAAACGCTGACGTCTGCGTTCCGCCGCGTCGGTACGGAAACCGCGTCAATTAACTTGGCCTCGATGACATATTAGCCTTTGTTCCCCGGCATCCCGCTCCCCGAGCAGCCAGCCATTCACTTGCAAGAAACTATACGTGTAATCCAGATACATGTTATTTATGACCAAGAGCAAGAATGCAATACGCGATGCAGCGCAATCTCTGATGCTAATCTACGCGACAGAACTCCGCAATCCAAATTAAACTATGACTTATCGCTATGTAGGTTTGTATTAGGCGTTGGTAGATAGATAGAAAAGTAAGCATAAGAAGTAAAAAAAAATATTCCAAGGAAATGACTCTTGAACTTGCCAGATGCGAGACAATTAAATTCGCCAAATCAATTCTAAATTAAATAGATCCACTGTGAAAATACAAAGTTTTGTGACTGTCAATGTCAAACAAAGAAGATGAAAAAAGTTTTTTCTTCCAATTCCATTTTCTTTCACGATTCCTCTTTCACAGTCTCTAAAAGTTTTCAAAATAAGAGGTTTTCGCGAGAGTCTCAATTATCGATAAAGACGATATTAAAAATTCGTTTGTTTTGTTCTTAGCTTGCGCCTGGAGAGCGGTGTCCCCTTTTTCCATTGTTTGCCTAAGAAGGGAAAGCAGGAACGGCGACAAACGATAATCAGAAATTTGAATTTCTCCCCCGCAAGTACTGACAAAATCATCCGATTTTGTGCGTCGTTTATCATCGCAATTAATTAGGCGAACAAAGAACTTTTTATCTCCGTTGTTGAGAAATTGTTTGTGTCAACGAACAGTTGTTGTGAATGTAAACTTTGTTTCGTTTCTGATTTATCAAATTGAATCGCCTTGCTAGAGCTTACCATGTGGCAGATCGCTTTACAATGCTTCTTGCTATCGGCGGAGGATCTATAGAGAACGTCAAAATTTACATACCTACATAGTTTCCATTTGGAGTGCTATGATGAAGGAACACGTTCTAAATTTATTCGTGAGCATTACAGTGTAACATGTACGAGGCAGTGCTCCCTTAATGCATTCATGTAATTCGCATAGCCGGCATCCCCTTTGACCGGCCACGCAACACCGCACTGGCTGCCCGGATAGAGTAATATAACCTGATGTTTTAAAACCATCCATCACGTTTAATATCCATATAAAAGAAGGAGCTAGCGTGCCGACTCTTTCCGCGAATTTTTTTGTGATTTTCGAATAATCTAATTCAAAACAACGTTAAATACTGACACAAAAATTTGTGTAATTTCATTGTTTGCATAAGGCTTTCTTACGTTAATAAACTCTATAGTCTTAAGTCATTTGTATGCAATATTGTTATTATTCACGTTGATATAGCATCACAAAACTTACATTATAATGAAAACTAGTAATATATTGGATTTAACTATTCAATGAGATAATCCCGCGTATCCCGCGCACTAGCTACATAAATTTCGAGAAATCCTCTCTACACCGCTCAATGCACCTAAATTATCAATTGACTACACTTTGCTATTCAACAGCCGAAATACAAAAGCGAGAGAGTTCCAACTAGCTGTGGAATAAAACCTCAAGTATCAGCTACTTGAATGTAAAAACGTTGCGATGCGGGATGCGGTCGGGAGGCCAACGCCAATTTACATTAAATGCGGCTACCCCCCCACCAGTGATAACTCACATTTTGCCGAGGCTACAAAACCAACTAGTTTAGAGAATTTCGACTTTGTTCTACAAAAATTTTGTGAGATTTTAAATTCCGATGAACAAGACAGAGAAATATAAATCTTCTACTATGTATTTTCTATAATAAAGTAGTATCATTAAAATCTGTCGATGTAAAAGTAAATTTCGTTACGGCACCTGGCGGAGTTGTACATTGAGACTGTTGTAGATTAAAAGTTCATGAAGAAAAAAAGATTTTAAAAACTTTCACATTGATAGAAGCAGTAGGTAGGGTACAAGTCGATATCTTAGGTTTTCGCGAATGTTACACAGGAAAAGAAACTTTTTTTACCGATCCAAACCGCGTATATTTATTTTTTCAAACTAACCAACATTTCAGGGCTCTTACAAGCACCATCAATCATTCAAATTTCAATACAGTGTTATTTTAAATCAGCTTAAAACCTCTTAAATTATTATCGTCGTTAAAACAACAACTTCATACGTTGATTTTTGTTTCCAATGCTAATTGAAGTAAGAGCTATAAGGCAGTTTAATACAAAAAAACCTTTTTGTTGAAGCTAATTAAATGTACATATCCTGTATAAATTATACAGTTACAATGGTAGGAACTAAATACGTTGTTATGCGATTCAATCAGACGGCTATCTAGAAACGGACGGCCTGAGGATCACAACCCGCATACTAAATTATTAGCCCTTAGTTATTTATGCATCATGAGCCAACATCTTAATGGCAAAAGGGAGTTATGTCCAGCCTAAAATAATATTTTGTGTAAATGTTTGAAAATAAACAAGCCTTTACACTCACAATATGTCGTAACTTAACTGTACTAGCTCCCTAACCTGCAGCATTTAATTGTTGGAATGAGTTTATTATAAATCCTGGTTTATATTTCAATTTATGTCTAACCGCAGCCCAGTGAATGTTATCTAAGGCTTACCTTCGGATGTGCTCTTCTGGGAAAGGCCACTTTGGGATCAATCTGAAATGAAAACAGAACTATTAAAATAACCGTGAAGCTACAACGTTCGTTAGCAATAAGGTAGGTAAAACCAGGGAGAATAGTAGGCGATCAACTGTTTGGAGCAACTTTTGCTTAAAAATTCTACGAGAGAAGCGCAGGGCCAACTAATCAGGGACCGCACGTCGAGCGGGAAAGCGGGCGCGATAAATTCGCTTCGTTGCCGTGTTCCACTGTCCAGCCCTAAAACCCCCGGCTGCAAAAAAGCATCGGACTGAAAATCCTGCACCGTGGTGCTGTCACTCGATTTCGCCTCTCGTCTTTTTCATGTAACCGAGCGCCACTATTTCATACGTGGCACTGTTTAAGCCCTGAGATTTTCTCCCGGCAGTGAACGGTCGCTCCTGGTCTTTTTGTTTTTGCCCCGACGCGTGGTGACCGCTATAAACGCAAAATTTAAACCCAAAGAAGCTACCTTTGACATTTTTAGACGTAAAATGTTTCATTTCCATTCGTGTTACCGTTTTTGAAGAAGGATTTCCACACTCCGTAGAAACATTTTCAATTTTTTGCACGGGACTTGGTGGATTTAGTAAAAAGGAATGACAAGGATAGAGAGCAAGTAAAACAAGGCTTGCGAATTCCTACGTCATAACGAATTTAGCACAAACAGACAAGTGAATTGAGTCTAAAATTAGGTGAAGTGTTTTTGTTTAATTGCCCCTTTTAACTCGCTGAATACATTCGGAAGTAAATTGTAATAAATTTCTAAAATGTCTTTTTAGTGTTGAATACTGTAGATGCACGAGCAGTAGACATCACTGCCACGTAATTACGAAACCGCCGCGAGAGAATAATTCAAAAGATTTTGCCCAAGAGGACTGCATTATTACAATATCAGGGAAACGACTTTACAGCGTCATTCATACATTCTTAATTATTTAATTATCTTTTGAGTGCGCTACAGACTACCGCAGCAGCAGAAAATCCGACATAATTTGATTAAATTGGATTTTCTCTAAAGGAAATTTAATTTTTCGTTACAATAATTTTATTATAATTAGAAGCGGTTCGGAACAATCGCTCGAGGTGGAAATGAAATCGGTAAGCAAAAAGGTGTTTTATAAAATTGTTTTTCTGAAACCTTTTAACCGCTTCACGCAAGCAATTTTGTAAACGTTATAAAATGACCACGAAAGTATACAGAGCAAGCAGAAAAATCATAAAACCCCAGATGGTGGCGCTAAAGCGATTAAGCGGGTCGATGATAAATTTTAACGAGTTATTTTAATGGAGGCGATCGCAGTCAGTGGCTAGCCGGCAGCCTGGGCCGATAGAAAAATAAAACGAAACTCTTCCAAAAGAGTGCTTTATACGTTTTGACTTCCGGATTTTTATTATTATGACTTGTTGGTATTATCGTCGACTTTTGTTACTTTTATAAAATAACACAACAAAAAAAAAAACACTGACAAAGCGAAAAAATATTATAATACTATATGTATATAGTATAACATTTGCATTATCGTTTCACTTAATAATTTAATTTAATTTTGTTTTGATGTAAGTATAGCACTTGAATGTTTAGGATATCTTACATATTTTTCTTGGAACATCCAGAGATCAAAATAAAGCTGGGTTAACTAACCATCTAATTTGATAAAATCAGGAAAGAAATACATATAAAATCATTTAAAGTATAGAGATACTTAAAAATGAATAAATTGCAGAATAAACTAGATACTCATGCGCAAAAATGACAGCAAAATATCGATACGAATGTGACATTTTGATATGAGCCATTTGCGTGATTACAATCGACGCCGCGGCGCACCCTCTTTCGACCTCCCCCTCCCTACAACTTCCCTCGCGGTAAAGATTGACATCACCGCTTTTTAACGTCAAATTATCCTAACTCCACCTTAACAAAACAAACCAAAATAATCCCCAATCCATTCGCCTTACGATTCAAATTCAATCGATAACCTTATCGTTTTAGCGTGTCATCGCAAGAAAAGATTGCAGGAGAAAGTACATTAGTGGGATATCACTACAGCTCGAAAAGAGCATGTTCGCTTATACCGCGAAGGCATCGATGTAAAGTCGATTACGGTAAATTTTATATTAAGCAAACAGTCAGTATCGATGTCTCGGGGTTTCAGGAGACGCTAGAATAATGCTCGGTATAACGGGTGAGTGACTTACAGCAGAATTTTGTTTTCTTATTCAGTGTTAGCAATACAAGTTTGAATATAAAATGTCCTTAATCCAGTACATTCGTCACATCGCTACATGGGTTTGACCTATTTTAAATTTTCCGTTGAGCCTACTTTGAGGAAACCGATTTTTGTGAAGTGAATTTCGTCGAATAGAATAATTCCATCGAGAAATAAATATTACGTAATAGTGTTTACGTCGTACGAATAGAATATTGGTTTATATAATAGGCAATAGTCGTTATTCATGTCTTATTATAATAGTTTAAGAAAGACAATGACGTCACGTCAAAAACTTACCTATCCGCTATTCAACAGCAAACATAATTGCAGAGTCGAAATCAATGGCACGATTTTTGCATCTAAATGTTAAAGTGCTCGTGTAAGGAAACAATTATTGCAAAATACAAAAACAAATCTTATAGTGAAAGTTTACCAACTAGTTTTATCGCGTGTTTTGCTAAGCATAAAAATGTTTCTTCGTACCATTACTTTACCAACCTGTAGTCAGCCAAGCCCTACTTAAGTTTCAATTAAAATCTCGATAATTAACAAACGTCACACGCCGCGCGGTGCTAAGGACAAGAAAGTTTAATGACGTGCACTCAGTGCAAGCGGTAACTGAATTTATTTACGTGCAGACGACACGTGAGTGTCGACGGGCGACGCTAAGTGGGGACCGCATCATTTGCTGTTCAGTCGGCAATGCGCACTGTAAACTCCTCCTAATTGGAACGAATTTGGCTGCAGGTGCAATACTCAACTTGGCTCAAGATTAGGGGCGAGCTATTGCAAGTATATTCCAGACCGTTCCCCTGAAATATTTGATGTGCAACGTGCGACTTGTGGCCCGCCGAGCGCTGCCGTCGCCTACATCACTTCGCCCGCGCCGTGTCGCCCACATGCGCTCAAACTAACTTGAATTAAATTAAGAACAATATTTACCCACGCCGAGATAAATGATATTGCACAGTTAAGCCAGAGTTAATGTTTGGTGACGACTTATGTACCCACATTCTTAGAACAAGCTTGTGGAGTACTTCTGTACAGTGCGATGGCTTAATATAAGGTTCGTTGAACAGAAATAGAAATACGGGTCTCCGGAACACCTCAGCGAGAAAGACTTAACGAGGCGCAACTTCGCCGCGTAGAGAGATAACCACGCTCTTATTGAGCATTATTTTAATTGATAGAGCATTTGTTTCAATGGAGAAAAATGCAAACAAGTTGCGATACGATCGGAAAACACTTGACACAGACTGTTTACGAAGTAAAGCTTTGCTTAACGCTTCAAAGACAAGCAGTAATGAAACTCCGCTAGGACAAGGCCCGACAAACGTCATTACTAAGGCACGCATAAATATGCAAGACAGGTAACGCACATTTTCATGCGACGGCGCAAGAATTTTATCGCTCGTTTAATTCTCTGACAAAAAAAATGGGATTCTTTTCGGTGTAACACGAGACAAGCAGCCTCGTGGGAACCGACACACTGGCCTTCTTCGGCCTATGCTTCGCATCTAAGTGCAGCCGACATATATATTCACCACTTTGTCAGATATTACTTTCTCTTAAACAGCGCCGCCGAAAACATAAACGGGCGGAAGAAAAGAGACGTAATCTTATCCATCAGCCGAACCTTATTCGTTAGGTGCTAATGTGGGCTCTTTGTGTAGTTAGACGCGCAGCTATTAACGTGTGTTTTATTCATCGCCCTTTTCCTTCACTGTGCTCACGTCCGCTACAATTGTCGAGGACCTTAACGACATAGTTCGCTTTTCTTAATACCCTTGTTAATTAGCTTTACATTTATTTGAGTGGTACCTTCCTTTATTGTTTTCGTTTTCGTATTATTTGTTTGGCTTCAAATTGTTGAAGGTCTAAAATAAAAGTAAATTTCTTTGTAGTTCCTCCTTATAATCTTTTGTAATAGCGCTTGATCTTTTAAATCGATAAAGAGAAAATCGATTGAACACAAGTGGAGTTTAAGCTGAATATCTGGACTTAGCGATCACAAAGCCGGTAGCAGAGGCACCGGACAATGTGGTCGGTGGTCTCGCGAGACAAAGATTACGCACTCCGGCCGAGCGAGCCAGTTTAAAACGTTGATCATATACATACTTAAACCTACTATACGTCGAACCCTGTAGATGTTATTTTAGTAATTAATTTCTACGTAACAATGCTTTCGTAAATGACGTTAAAATTTAGAAAAACTGAAGGAATGTGAAATTGATGTTTTCACGAAATATTATGTTAAAAATAGTTCGAATTAGTCCTTATTGTCATTACTTGTTTCCGAATCTACTGGTCTATCTTACTTGTTACAAAGCTTGTCATAACCACGTACTAAATCCCTTCCTGATTAGTACAAATGTCAACGCTATCCGAGGCATTGACATACATCCCGTGACCCATCCAGCAAACGCCGCCGGCATCCGTGACCGGCATACCGACCGCCATCCGGCGCAGATATTTGCAGTCAAAACAGACTTAGGATGCTCCTGCTGCACTCTGCGCATGTCACTCCGCTTCTGTATTATTTATTAACTCCAACGAGCTTCCGATGTTACTTTATTCCATTGTGCAACTGTATCTACGGTGGTTCCTGATGTCCGAGAAGTTTGCTCCCGACTCCCGACTGACAGGGCTGCGAGAAACTTTTCGTGCATAGAATGAATGCCTGTCAGCCAAACGTAAACACGGTGGCAAAATACTTGGTATATTATTTAGCTCGCAGACTCGCATACGAAATCCAGATTGTTGATCGCTGGAATATAAAATACAGTTTTAAAACTCTTTCTA